TCCTGTTGTCGGATTTCATGGGAACACCAAGGATGGTAAGATGAGGGCAGTTGAGTAGATTTGCACGCTATTTGTTGTTATAATATACTGGGCTAGCTCCGTTAGCTGCCTCACCTGAGATAGCTGCACTAGCTGCATGGTGTTGACACACTCAGGCTGGGGATGCTTTTTTTCAAATCTTTCTCATCATCTTTCTAAACTAGACCATGGCTTTAAGGTTCATAATAAAACGTTCTGAAAGCAGATGTATTGGGTTACAAACAACAGGAGGTGATATCATTAATTCACAGGAGGAATTGATAAGGGAATCGATAAAGAATCGGATCGATAAGCAGAATCGATAATGGCATTGATATCAATAAAATCCTATCAATTCCCATCCCTACTCAGAACGCTGCTCTGTCACTTTCTGACCCGCCCCACCCAACCTGCGGGTTGCTTGTCAACACACGCATCACTATTGGCAGGTGTATAAGTAAACAAACAAACAACAACAACCACAAAGATCATTATTCAGTCTCATATTACATTTATGGGAAGTTATTACAGTTTAGATTTTCACCTTCCCACATATGTAATAATTTCCTGCAAATGTAATAGTTATTACATTTGCAGAAAATTGTGTGTTACGTTTGTAGTAGGCAGCTGCTATTACATTTGTGGGAAATTTATTACATTTGCAGGATTATTACATTAAAAGCTGCAGATTTGTATTACGTTTGTGGTTTATTACGTTTGTGGGCTGTTATTACGTTTGCGGGTGTAACAAATCCTTCGAACTTTAGTGATCTTTTGACTTTTCTGTTCCATTCCGGTCCGTTCTGTTTATGACCAAATACCTGCAAAACTGACAACATCTTTGTCATCATCGGCTGTAATTCATGTTTAGATCTACTGTTTAGTCTTGTTATTAAAGCAACTGCATCTTGTTTCTCTTAAAACTGACTCACCAGTGACAGTGGAGGAATCACGTATTTCCAGCACAGTTTGAAGAAAACAGAGGGTCTCTGTCCTGTCATGTCCTCAATGATGTTAATAACACGATCAGCACCTGATCAAAATTCATGATTGTGACCAAGGTTGGAGGTTTAAGGGAAGAACTTGACATCGTAACTGATTATTGAAGAAAGACAGCTGAAGCACAGATAAATACAAATAGTGAGATCATATGACGACAATTAAAAAGACCATAAAAGTTGTTGTTTTTTCTTTCTTGCATACCAAAAGTCCAGGCCAGAGCCAGACACTCAAATAAAGCCATGAAATAGTGACAAGCTCTGGTAGTGCCATAATAATCAATAAGCTGGAATATGTAAACCCCTCCCTGCAATAGAAAGAGACAAGGTTTTAATATGAGAAATAGCTTTAAAACATTTTGTGACAATAGATGTTTGAAAGTATCCTCAGTGAAATATTTTATTCACCTCAGTGACCAACATCAGATTTATGAGGAAGAAGGATGAACAGATGGAAAAAACGAGCAGCTCATGTCTCCCTGGTTTACGAAACAGCTCTGGGAACAAGTCACTTATTGAGGTGATAAAACACTCGACCGTCACAAACTGGTGATAAAGTACAATAAACAAAATAACTCATTTTTGTGCCTGCAAGGCATTGGTAATCAGCACAATAAAACATCTTACATGTGTGTCAACAGTCAGTAGAATGAGCATCAGGAAGAAGCAGACAGTCCAGAACTGTGGCAACGGCATCATAGCTGTTGCCTGAGGGTAAGCAATGAAGGCCAAACCTGGACCTGTTAAGTAAACAAGGAGAGACTTACCATTAAGCTATACAGCTATTTATGTTAGGACATGGTATTCACCTTTGTATAATTTACAGACTTAGACACTGCATATGATGATATCTTCAAATATACTGGACCTGACTCAACCACAGTGTCAACAGTAACACCCTGTTTCTGAGCCATGAATCCAAGCACAGAGAAGACGACAAATCCAGCAACAAAACTGGTCCCACTGTTCAGCAGACAGAGCCAAAAGCAGTCCCTACAGGTCAGAGAAATTCATATCAGTTGAGAGGAAATTGACATAGGTATGTTGCGACTTGAAAATGGTAGGCCTAATATGAAAAAAAAAAGTTAAGTGAATTTGTAGCACAATACAAATGTCCTTTATTCTGTTGTTTTGATTGTTGTTTGTGACATTTAACTCTTACTCTCTTTGAAAATGATTACCACATCCCACACACTTTTAAAGTCAAATATTGGTACATAAGTAATTGTGGTTTGCAGTTTATCCTTACTTATAACAGTTGTTGTGGTGCCGATTATAGCTGCCCAGAACAGTCAGAGTTCCTGTAGTCACGCTGTAGGAGAAGCATATTTGAGATCCCGCCTCTATCCACACCTGTAATATCACAAGAAGTTGTTTAATTCAAGTTTTTTTGTAGTTTCCATTAAAGATTTTTTTGTTAGTGTCATGGCCAACTGTGCTGTCTTTTGTCAGGCCCCTCACCTGAGACCAGGCCGGAGCTGCTGGAAGCCAAGGCCTTGAGCATGTTAAATGCAGCCAAAGTTTCAAATAATTAAGTAAATGTATAAAATGTAAATCCAGAATCTATAATTATTCTAAATATTCTGTTTCCAACTTTTTTCCTACATGGAGAGACAAGTTGACACCAGGTCATGACGGATTTCGGCTCCAGGCGAGCTACTGCAAGTCTTTGGGCTACATCACATACACTGCCACGTGTAGCTACATGCTATTCAGGAAAACATGTTATCTTGGTTGCCGATGTCGTTAATTTCTCCCTGATTTCAGATCATATTCCTGTTGGAACATGTCTGGTTGTGTTTAGAAGCTTTTAGTGGTGATTTTTCACAATAGAAAGTTCCAGTCATTCTCCAGCTTCGTGCTACGTGTTTGACAACATGTTATGTGTGCGACTTTACCAGAGGAGATTTTAAAAGTAGCTGTTAGCAGTTAGCAGCTAACTCAAAGAAGAAGAAGAACATATATACGACTGCAAATTGGGAAAATAATGAGATGCGGAAGCTACCCTTTAAACAGAGGACGAGATCAGCTGCCATATAACAGGATGGTAAATAATTGTTATTGCCATGTTATATCATTGTTGTTGTTTTAAAAGCAGTGCCAATGTGTATATGTAACACCAGAGGCTGATGCTGTTGTGTTACATGTCAACCCCGTCACACCTCTTTTGGTTGCGCAATGCTGGAATGTAGCTTATAATCACACACTGGAGTGACATGATGCTGCCGTCGTTTGGTTCTGTGTTAACATGCAGGAGACGCATGAAAAAGGGACTTTGTAGCTGCCCTATGTAGCACAATATTTGTGTAGAAAAGGGCTTAGGTTAATTGACCTTTTGTTAAGCCCCGCCCCTTTGTGATGGTCTGACAAGCTGTTGGAGTAAGCATGGAGCCCACACTGTAACCAACTGCCTTCCCTGAAGACATATCATATTTTTGGAAAAACAAAATAGTGATTCCAGAGAGACGCAGACAGAGGGGTCTACAGTCTGTGGTTGAATGATATATCCAGTATGTCAAACTGACTCAGCAGCAACAACAGGGTAAAAAGACAAAGATAGCCGAACTATAGGCTACAGATCACAGTATAAAAGTGAACCACCACATCACTGCTGATCGCCACAGAAGACAATGAATATAAAGGGAAACTTTGGCGATATTGAACCAGCTGTGTGGCATCACAGTGTGTGCAGATAAACTGTGTTTGGCTTTGCAGGTATCTTATAGGGGAAGTCAAACAACGTTCATGTACATACAATGCGATGACACACAGCTGATTGAATAGGAGCAGAAGTTTCCCTGCTTCCCTTCACTGGTTCCTGTACAGCAGGGTCGGTCTTTTTTCAGTGTTATAATCATTAAAAAGCAAAAGCAGCATGTGTATACATTCAGTAGGTTATATCTCCAGCAGCTAGCTAGCTAACCCTACACTTTTCAGGGTTTGATTTTGGTATCGGAGCAGGGAAGAAAAGTGTATCTTTTTCCAACCTCTCCAGGTAACAAGTATCATTACTACAAGACGTGTCCCAGGCCTCAACATTTTGCTCGAAATCCACAAAACAAGCCTTAAAAATGAAGGAAATCTGAAACGATTGCATTAGAGTCAGACTTGGTCTGAGCTGGCCTGATGCTACGTTATTAATAGCCAGTCTGTGTCCGTGGGTGGGACTTAGTGAAGGGTCAATTGGTGACTCTACCGAAGATGTGGACATAAGCATGAGTGGTGATCTGTCTTTATGTGTCAGCCCTGTAATAGTCTGGCAACCTGTCCAGGGTAAACCCCCATGCCCAGTGACAGCTGGGATAGGCTCCAGTCCCCCCCACAACCCTTTACTGGATAAGTGGTTACGGATAATGAATGAATGCATGAATGATGCTTATGGAGAAGGAAATGAAATATGGGTTGTTATTGAGAAGATTACTAACCAGTTATGTGGTGGTCTTTCTCCAGCCTCACCTACAACAACTGTCAATATGCTCTACATGATAACATACAAGTAACCTCAAGGTTAGCCAGGCGGTTTAAGTTTGGATGCAGGTAGTAGTGGATCCCTTCCCCAGCTCCAGGAAGAGTCAAGCCTCTGATGAGTAGAATCAGGAGCATCACATAGGGGAAAGTGGCTGTGAAGTATGCTACCTTAAAAAAGAAGAAAGAAAGTCTCAAAAAAAATGTGTGTGTTATAACCAGAATTAATGGAGTTTACTGATGCAAATAAGATAGAACATGTAAGTAAAATTCATGATGATAGTTTCTGTGTACTGTAGGTCTAAATGTTAAATGAAAGTATTTCCATTGACCTTTCCAGAAGATCTGACACCTTTCCAAATACTGAAGTAGCAGAATACCCAGGCAGCTAGAAGACACAAAGCCAGCTCCCATCTCACACTGCCCAGCTCCTCAATGCCTCGAGACATGCCCAGCACACGCCGTCTGTGGAGAGGCAAAATTTAAAAGGTACACATGATATGACAAGAAATTATGATTCATGATTTCTAGATATTTGGCTTAGTTTAACAGAGTGGTGTCTCGTCATATAACTTATTTTACTAAATGATAATTTAATCCTTGGTGGAATATGTTTATCCTGCTATCTATGTAGATATGGCAGTGTAAACAAGGGTAGCAAGTGGGGCAGCTGTTATTAAGGAGACTCCAACGACCCAGTGACCCTAAGGGCTGTTTCATAGTCAACGCAAAGGCACGCGTTGGGAAGCATTGGCCGCCATGATATGTGCTTGAGTCTCAAAATGTGTTGTCCATTTTTTTGATACGCGACACAGCAACACGTGCAATACCATGTGTTGCCAGCGGGGGTGATAATGCAAGCGACGTACTTGAAATTAACCACTTTTTGTTAATCACAGAAGAAGCAGGTATGAAATGGCGGGCGAGGAGGAAAAACTTTGCAAACTCTTACGGGCACACCCCCATTTATATGACAGTTCTAGTGCCCTGCACTCTAATAAAATAGCAGTACTAGCTAGCTACAGCAGTACTAGCTAGCCAGAATGTACCGGTGACTCTGCCACCCCCTATTGCGCGAGCGCCGCTTGCATTCAATGTGTTGACTATGAAAAGTGCATCGCTCGCGTTGCTTGCTCGCGTTGCGTGCATCAACTATGAAACGGCCCTAAGTCACATCTTTAACATAGTGCACACATGAGCAAAACTAGGACAGTCTAACTGGCACTAATTAACTCCTCCAGTTATTTACATGTATTTTTAAGGAGTATCCTCAAACAACAAGTGGATAGGCTACCTGATGTGGAATATGGTTCACAAGGAGTTTGACATAATGTATGAAAGTAAGTTTTGATATTGTTTTTCTGTTGTGTGTCTGATCGGGAGTGTATCTATATTTCCAGGGTTCTATGTTCCCCACTTAACCCTGCAAAAAAGGTTCTATGTTCCCCGCTTACACAAAAAAGGTTCTATGTTTCCCGGGTTCTATGTTGCCTGCTCAAACAAGTGGGAAACATAGAACCCTTTTTGTGTAAGCAGGGAACATAGAAGCTTTTTTGCGGGGTTAAGTGGGGAACATAGAACCCTGGAAACATAGGGATGACCCCATCTGATCAACATCATTACAGAGGAAATGGCTATCACATTAAGAAGTTCAGTTCTCAATAATAATAATAATGAAAAAAGTGGGAGTGCAAACTTTTCAAGTCTTCGAGATCACAGAGAGAGATAAACTGATGAAAAATAATAATTTTGGGTCAAGATCATCCTTTAAGGTTATCTCACTGTTAACTTGCAAACCCCATTCATGATCATTTGATTGTTTAACAAACATCTAATGTTTAACCAATCGCATCCAATTCCAGAACTCAAAGAAAAACTCAATGGACTCACAGTGCCGATGTCAAATTGAAGCTGAGAGTAGCACCAAAATGCTCATGACTTAGCATTTTTGAGAAAGGCTTCCATTAATCAGGCTGTTGTCGGGCACTGTTTTTACATTTTCCTACGGAAAGTGATGCATTAAATTTTGTACATGTCCCACATTATCATGATCCTGTTATTAGTGTATAACCCACATATTTGAGAATGCTGCAATCAAGAGACCAATGTTCTGACAGACGTAAAGAATGAGGTAGTCCTGAAAGGCGGTAGCTTGGGGTGGTGACTAGGTCACAAAACTCAAGACTTTACCCACTCTCCCCGCAACCCAGGAGACTGGTGTTTGAAAACTTGTGAATTTTGAGTGAATGTTGTCACCATGTTTCTTTCCTAAACCTAACCATTAACTTAACTTGACCTAAACCTAACCCACGTAACTTTATGTTAAGTGTGTAACTTTACACTAAGCACGGAATGTCATTCATGGTGCACAAATTCATAGGATGTGTGTGTCATAGGATATAATACAAAAACATTGAGAATACGTTCATTAATGACATTGCACTTCTAAGGTATTTTGCCTGGATACCATTATGTAATTATCTTTACTGTATAAAAAATGTTGCTATTCAGTCACTTTGATGTCATCATTGGTCATTAAAAGAAAACAAAGAAAACAAAGAAAACAAATTCAAACTCACTCCCAGAACTCAGTAGCAGCAAAGGTGGTGTTGGTCAACACAGTCCGATTTGTCAGATTTATTGAAGGTGAATCCAAAATCTGAGGATCCATACAGTTAGCTAGTTTAGTGGACAAAGAATAAATGTTAGTAATTATACAAATCAACACATGAAAGTCCCTGGATAAATGTGAATATATGGTAGAACCAAGGACTTCTTTGTGAGCTTTAAACATTAGAGTTTACCTGTATTCCATGTGTTCTCACAGGTGGCCCAGGGCAGCTGGGATCTGAATGAGAACACCAGGTAGAACAGAGCCCAGACCTGGATTATAATGTAGCTGAAGTCATATATTTTCATCATAAAATTTCCATATCCAATCCCTAAAAAACAAATAAAAAACATTTTACTTTTTTCTTTTTTTTTTTTTTTTTTTTTACAGTTATGCATTCTTTAATCTCTGGAGATGTGTTAAATGTTTCTATAACTACATTTTCAGAGTTGAGTTAACTTTGGACAAAAATATGTCATTTCTTAATTAAAATAAATAAATACTTGTGTACAAATGGGACTATTTCTCTTTTCAATCTCACAACTCACCTCGTGCCAGTGGACACAATTTACTCCAGCAGGTGATGAATCCTTCCTGGGTGTACTGACCAATTGCAGTCTCCAGTAGGAACAGAGGTATCCCACACACCACAGCTAACAGACCATATGGCACCAGAAAGGCACCTTAATAGATATTACATAGGATATATTTTAATCTCCAATCATCCATATTACCATTTTTTCAATTTTTTTTATAATATTCACCTCCACCATTCTTGTAACAGAGGTAAGGGAATCTCCACATGTTGCCCAGGCCGACCACATTTCCTGCAACAACCAGAATATACTCTGTTTTACTGGCCCACTGTCCTCTGTCTTCAGCCCTCTTCTGATTTTCTCTGTTTCTTCTTTCTCTCTTCATCTCAGCATCAAGGACTTCATCAGTTGTGTGTTTCCCACTGATCTTTGCTTCTTTTATTTACACCAGCAGGTGATGAATCCTTCCTGGGTGTACTGACCAATTGCAGTCTCCAGTAGGAACAGAGGTATCCCACACACCACAGCTAACAGACCATAAGGCACCAGAAAGGCACCTATGGTAGACACATAGACATGTATGCTCATAGAATTGACAAATTACACAATAAGCTCAGTGATTCTCAGGACTTCATCAGTTGTGTGTTTCCAACTGATCTTTGCTTCTTTTATCAGGTCTCTTGTCCTAATTTTATTATCTCCTCCCATGAACCCAGATATAACTTCTTAAACAACAGTTCCATTTTCGTTGCTGTTTTGCAAGAGCCAGAGGGGTCTATTCAAACAGTCACCAATCCTTCTATGCAAACTGATCTTCTCTGCTTTTAGTATATGTGGCTTGTTAGTTTGACTACATGCTGGTCTCAAGCCAGCAATAATTTAAAAAACATAAAAAACAGTCATGCTGGTGTTCATGTGCAATGTCCCTAAATGAATTCTTTAGGAGCATTTTGTTTGTCTTGAGAAACATCTTTGTGGTGAAACATGCAAAAATATCCTTATTACAATAACCCTGTTAAACTCAGGTTTACTTAACCCTTTGAAACCTGAAGCGACATCACTTTTCTTGTGCTGCTTTTGGACACATTTCGCAAGTATTTAAACCTTTGAACACTGAGCTAATTGGTGTGATTTCTTTCAGAAACATGGCAAAAAAAGGCAATGAGCAACTTGGTAAGAAATGTCCCACAAATTGAAAAAAATGAAAATTTATAGAAAATTATTTGAAATAAAAAACAAGGGAAAAAACAGTGAGGGGGAAGTTATATTTTTGATTATAATTATTACATATTTAAAATTATGGTACAGAATTTTTATATTTTTTGTTATTATTTATTTATTTATTTATTATTATTTTTTTACAAATGTTCTTGTTTTTAATTTTCTCTTTTTAATTTTTATTTTTTTTAATTTTTTTTTAGCAATTTTTGGGGTTACTTCTTTCGTTGCTCGTTGCCCTCTTCCCATGTATTTAAAAAAATCAAGCCAGTTTGCTCAGGTTTTAAAGGGTTAAAACAGTTAAGCCTATTTCAGAATCGACAAATGTCTGGAATTTTTTATCGATAAATGGCCAAAATGATCTATTATCAAAATGAATGTTTAGCGTTGTTTTATTGCTTTAGCACTATTTTGAGCATTGCCATTTAAATATACACTGAGCAAAAATATAAACGCAACACTTTTGTTTTTGCTCCCATTTTTCATGAGCTGAACTCAAAGATCTAAAACATTTTCTATACACACAAAAGACCATTTCCCTCAAATATTGTTCACAAATCTGTCTAAATCTGTGTTAGTGAGCACTTCTCCTCTGCCAAGATAATCCATCCCACCTCACAGGTGTGGCTTATCAAGATGGCCTCGTGTGGGTGAGCGGTTTGCTGATGTCAACGTTGTGGATCGAGTGGCCCATGGTGGCGGTGGGGTTATGGTATGGGCAGGCGTATGTTATGGACAAAGAACACAGGTGCATTTTATTGATGGCATTTTGAATGCACAGAGATACCGTGACGAGATCCTGAGGCCCATTGTTGTGCCATTCATCCACGACCATCACCTCATGTTGCAGCATGATAATGCACGGCCCCATGTTGCAAGGATCTGTACACAATTCCTGGAAGCTGAAAACATCCCAGTTCTTGCATGGCCAGCATACTCACCAGACATGTCACCCATTGAGCATGTTTGGGATGCTCTGGATCGGCGTATACGACAGCGTGTTCCAGTTCCTGCCAATATCCAGCAACTTCGCACAGCCATTGAAGAGGAGTGGACCAACATTCCACAGGCCACAATCAACAACCTGATCAACTCTATGCGAAGGAGATGTGTTGCACTGCGTGAGGCAAATTGTGGTCACACCAGATACTGACTGGTTTTCTGACCCCCCCAGACCCCCCCAATAAAGCAAAACTGCACATTTCAGAGTGGTCTTTTATTGTGGCCAGTCTAAGGCACACCAGCGCAATAATCATGCTGTCTAATCAGCATCTTGATATGCCACACCTGTGAGGTGGGATGGATTATCTCAGCAAAGGAGAAGTGCTCACTAACACAGATTTAGACAGATTTGTGAACAATATTTGTGAGAAATGGTCTTTTGTGTATGTAGAAAATGTTTTAGATCTTTGAGTTCAGCTCATGAAAAATGGGAGCAAAAACAAAAGTGTTGCGTTTATATTTTTGTTCAGTGTATATACAGTATACTGTAATTACAGTGATCGCTGAAATGTGGCCTAGTTAAATTGACAGATTTTAATGTAGCTGAAGTCATAAAAGTCTCATCATCAAATTTACATATCCAGTTCTAAAATGCTGAAAAAAAAAAATTCTAAAGCTGAAATGTTTTTACTTTGTGAAACTGAGGTATCCCACACACCACAGCTAATGTATGTGCGCCCATGGCAAAGACGAATTGAGAAATATCTAGTGTACAGAATCTGCCGTGCTGTGTTGACAGAACAAGTGCTGCTTTTTTAAGTTTTTCCCACCCTGCTCTCAAAATACTTCATGGTCTTTTCAGGAGGATTTTAATGAGCATACATGTCTCTGTGTGTATTTACCATAGGTGCCTTCTGGTGCCATATTGTCTGATAGCTGCTGTCTGTATGTTTCTGCACATGGCTCTTTTTAAGAAGTCAAAGTTTTAAGGGAACCAAAAAGGTCACCAGTTGCATTATTTTTCTATTTTGTTTATGTACATTTTCAAAATTTCTCACTGTGCAAAAGTCCTATTTAAGTCAGGCATGTTTAACCAGTCCCTTAACGTTTCTTTCCTGGATCAGCATTTGTCCATCCTTCTTCGTCCTAGTGACCCAGCCTGGAAGACAAGGGAAGCTGAAGAAGTGCACTGTCAACTGACAGCGTCTCTGTCATATAATTTTGCTGCAGCAGAAACTTCAGGGCAAGTTACCTACATGGCAAACAGTATATGCAAACTTATGCAAATCAATGTGCTAGGATATTGAAATTATTCTAAAAAGCATGTTTTGACTTTTGGTAGTGAGGTTATTCCTCAGTTTAAATTTATAAAATAAAGTAATAATAAAATAGTGACTTGTTAGTGAATTACTCCAGTTTTCATTTAGCTTTTAGCCACACTCATACAGACCCATTTACATGTAGTGGATGAAGAGGTGATTTTAACTTCATATCAGTCGTGCTCATAGGTCGGTTTTCCAACCATAAGGCCATGCTGCAGCTGAATTTGAATAATAAAGTTGTTTATGGTTCTGTAATCTATCTCATTTTTACTGCTTTAATCTTTATGTTGCATGTCGCACTTTTCTGTCTGTGAGGTTTAATAAATAAATGGAAAATTTAAGCTAAATGGGTTTCATTTATTCAGCCCTGCAACTGTTTAGGTCGGCAGTACTTTGTGGCTTAATGTCTTTTATCAGGGAAAAACTCCTGAGGGTTAAAGAGTTAGTGTTTTTGCATATTTCAACCCATTAACTATAAATTTTGTATACTTTGCATCAGTTGTTATAGTTTTGTATTTTCCATTAGTTTCTATTTTTATTTTGTTTTCAATTTAGTTTCACTGAAGTGAGTTTGCTTGTTTAAGTTTATTATGTATTATAAGACTTATATGTCTTTTTTGTTTGTTTTTTATTCTTATTTCATTTTAAATTTCTGATTTTTTTCATCACATTAGCCTCATATGCTGCCTTAACATGCATTATTCTTAAACTTCACTCATACCCTGAGGGCTTCTGTCAATAAACTGACTTTTACAGACTTTTTATTTTACACACTAAATGGTGATTGTTGTTTGTTTTTTTCTAAAGTGTTTAGATCGCTGTGGAAATAAAATAGCTATTTCCTAATTTGTAAACACTAATTAACAGACAATGTAGATTAATGCAATGTTATTCCCCAAACGCATATGTCCGCAGCATAACAAATTAACAATGAAAGTAAATCAACACGCTACAAGACTTTAATAACCAAGACACAGCTGTCAACTAATAGGCTTAGCTGGACGCTGAGCCATTTGGTACACAGTTGGGGTGGGGTGGAGGGTCTCCTATAAATATGTATCTCAGTATTATATATTAACACCTGAGCCTGCTTCCTTCTTCTCCAGCACAGTATCACAATGTGTAAAGAGAGGAACAAAACCAGCTCATATGACTGAAAAACCCTCCCATCTATTCTAACAGTCCCATAGATGATGAACAATGTGGTCTTTGGGGACTTGTTGCTCAAGGACAACCAGACTACCCTGTTGGCTCACACAGACACACCACACCCTTTCACTCCCAGTAAGAGGCCCGTAGAACTGGTATTTGGATTAGCTAAGCACTCCAACATGAAAAAGGATATCCCTCACTGTGTCGGGGAGTGGCCAGAAAATGTGTTCAGCCACTAGTGGTTTGCCGTGGCTTTTGCTCCATTATGGCATCTGTTGAGTGAGGTCAGACATGATGTATTTTTTTTTTTTTAAGAGGAGGTCTCACAGCTGCGGCTCCCTCTCTTCAAGACAGCTGAGTCACAGGCTACAGTAAAATCCTCTTTTGGGTATAACAATGGCACCACTGTTCATACACTGATCATATACAGAGTTAGCAGGAGTAGGCCTACAAAAAATAAAATGTCTACATATACAGTATATAAATCAATTTAGTGTTGAAGCTGGTAAAGGTAGGGCTAAATTTGCAGCTTAATCTATATAATATGTCGACATCACATCTGGCACAATATATAACATAACATTTGACTCTCAAATAGAGTGGAACAGGAGAAAATGGAAATACTCAAGTCAGTTGCAAGGTACCTCAAAATGTGCTTAAGTACAGCATTTGAGTGAATGTACTTATTTTCCACTACTAATTAATGAGTATTTTATCACAATAGAACAGATAGACTGCACACCAAAAGCTGCCCCTTGGTCACCGTCAAGCTCCTGAAGTTTGCAGACAATACCACACTCACTGGACTCATCTCTGTAACTCAAAACTGTAGAGATGGTTGTAGATTTTAGAAAGAACAAAGCTCCAACCACCCCATCACCCTGTGTGACTCCCCTGCTGACACTTAGGAGTCCTTACACCCCCTGGCACCATCATCACCCAGGACCTCAAGTGGAGGCTGAACATCAGCTCCTTCATCAAAAAAAGCACAGTGGAGGAAGAAGTTCAACTTTCCAAGGACAGCAATGGGGAACTTCCACACTACCATCATGAAGTCCATCCTCACCTCCTCCAATCACCATCTGGTATGCTGCTGCCACTGCCAAGGACAAGGGCAGACTGCAGCGCATCAGTAGCTGTGCAGAGAAGGTGATCAGCTGCAATCTGCCATCCTGAAAGAATCTGTATGCCTCCAGGACCCTGGACCTTTTCCACCTTGGTCACAAGCAGAAGGCGATGGAACATCAGGGTCAGAATCTTAGGCCCCAAAAACAGTTTTTTCCCATCTGCAAATGGCCTCATCAACAAGACCCGGGACACACTGACACAGACTTTTATGTCCCCTGTAGACACTACATGTTACATTAATGTCCTTATATGTGTTACATTAAAGCACATCCTTGGGATTGCTATTTATGCATATTGCACATTATTTTAATTCTAATACCTTTACGCATCCCATAGAGTATGATTTTGCACATTCCAACATAGCTCTTTCATTTTAAACAGTTACATTGGGTATTTTTTAAATTGTATTTTTAATGTATATTTTTTATTATTTTTTCGTTATGTATGTGTCTTGCCTTTGCATCATAATGCCAACGTAAATTTCTTGTATGTGAAAATCTTCTTGGCAATAAACCGGACTCTGATTCAGAAACAGTGAGGAGGGGAGCGCCGAGGTGACGTCATTCTGATCCACATCCACAGCAGCAGGAGGGGCGAGGCGGCCAGCCGCTGATCCACCGGTATCATGGATTCCTAACAGGAGGGGGAAGTGAATGGGAGGAAAACAAGGATTTTTCTTGTATGCCCGACAGATTATCATCCTTTCCAGAACCTGAGAATGGGACAGAGGGGCCCGGCCTCCCTTTTCGCCCCCCACGGCCGCCCCAAAGGGATCCAGGATATACTTTAATTTTATCGGTGAATTTCCATTCGTAAACCGTGGAAGATGGCCGACCCGGCGGAGTGCACCATCAAAGTGATGTGCCGTTTTAGGCCCCTGAACAGCTCCGAGGTGGCCAGAGGCGACAAATACATTCCCAAGTTTCAAGGGGAAGAAAACGTTATTATCTCGGTGAGTTATTTCGTGTTGAAGGGCTTTAGCTACCTATTTGACAGAGCCCTCCGGCACAGTCAGCAGTACGCCATTTTTGATTGTCTTGTAGCTACGGTAGTTAGCACCTTAGCTTGTTAGCTAACGTTAGCAAGGGCTGACCTGTTCACCGTTGCGTTGTTCCGCTGGCCCTCAGCTGAATCCAACTTATGGCGCCACCTAAATATTTAACTTATTCGGTCTCCAGTTCGTGGAGAGTGGGTAGTAGCACTCAATTTAACATTTAACAAAGCCAGTCCATTTGCTGTTGGCGTTATATGTCACTATTCGCAGTTGCCCTGTCATGGCTAGCGAGCTGTCATTCAACAAAGCCACAAACTCATTGGCTGGCACAGGTTATAATGTCGCCAGCGTTAGCCTTGAAAGCCTGCAAGCTAGTCACTGCACTGTTATCACGACATTAATTAATGAGTAGACCTGCATCTGTAACGACAAAGCTATTAATTATGAACAGTTTGCGTCAGCATAAAGCGTAAGCCAGCTTTGATTTAGTATTGGCTAACACTGCTGGCTAGCAGGCTAGGCCAGCTGGTAGTTGACAGATTAGCCGGCCTTGGCTAGCTGGCTAGTTTTAATACTGTTGCTTAATTAAAGCTAATATTAGCTAGCTGACCAGCTGGCAACATAACCAGCTCTTTGTAGACTAAATTGAAATGACCTGTCATTGAACATTTCATATAATCTAAATAAGCTTCTATTAAGGAGTGGGTACAGACAATGGTAAAGTCAAAATAATGTCATTGGCAGTGGAAATGTCAAATGAAATGCAGGCTAGTCAGTGGTATTCTGTTGATCTTCAGGGACTGGACACTGTGCAGATCATAACTCAACAGGTTCAACTACATATTCAAAAATCTGAGTACATATTGAGTCTGTTTTCTTTTAATAAGGACATTCAGGGCGGGAACAAACCAAAGTTTGTTGTTTTAAGTTTGATTAGTCTGCTGATGATACAGATCCAGTACTTGATAAGGAAAATGGCATGGGCAGAATTTCCACTACAACAAAAGAAGGAAATACCTTTACTAATGCAGTGCCATGTTACCTCCACTTTACTGAATCAACAAAGAATTTGCCCTGAGGTCAGTTTGTAAATGATGTGCGCTTGATGCTTTGTCATCATTTACCTACGCAGTATGTCCCTAAAAAAGCACTGTTTACACAGCCTGTGTTCGTGCCATTGCGTGCCTTTACGCTATTTAAAAAAAACATGTACAATAGGAAAAAAGGTTGGTCTCTCTTCACATGCTTTGTGACTGAAGTAATTAGGAGGCATAACAACAGCATAAAAGCCAGGATGACATCTCATGTTTGTACATGCTAAACGTGCAAAAGCCAATGGCGTATCATCTGAACAAAAGTCATGGTTAAACATTAGGTTTCCTCAGCACCTTATTGTCATTCTCTCAGTGGACTTTGTGTCTTTGCTTACCTGTGCTTTAAAAGAATTTACAAGGCAGTAGAAACTGATCGTGAATTGCATTTGTGAAGTTGCAGATTTTCAGCTGAGTGGATATGAATCACATCCGCTTTGGAGGTACACTTGTAATTTAGGTGGTGAATTTAGAATACAACGTGACTATTCATTTTCTGTCATGCAAACAGAGAAGACTTGTAGTTGTGGTGACTTCTTGAATAGTTGTGCTGACACTGACTCCAGGCCTTTAACTAACAGCAAGCATACTGTCTGTGCCCCTCAGGCACGATGTGGCCCAGCCCAGTTGAGAGTACCAGTCATAGTGCCAACATACCAGTGGACATTGTGAAGGACGCAAGTGTTGTAGGGCAGAGCCTAGTATCCTCTGCTGGTGTATTTGCTTTGAGAAGTACAACACTTACAGTGCCCATAAGCAGCAGCACAGGCCTCCTGGGTAATCCCCGTGTGTTTTCTCTCCTGGTAACCAGCTGTTCGACCAATCAGAGCGGCAGTTGGCCGGGCGCTGGGCAATCTCTCCGGGTGGGGAGGGTAGTTATTATGGTGCTGTACTTTGTTTTGCAGATGCTCTTATCCAGGGTGACTGACTCACTTAGCTCATATTTGTATCCGTTCTGAAACAATCTAGGGCGGGACCCTGTATTAGGGCTAAAGCCTCAACAGCAGTGCTAAGCCAGTGGTGAGGCTGACCACACTGCGCGTAGTAAAAACGCTAATGAGCAGCTTCACCATTTCAGGCCTTGGTGATGCTACTTTGATGCTTGTGGATATTCCCTACACCAGAGATTCCGTTCTCCTAGAGCGTTATCCTGCTGTACGCCCTTACTCAGCTATGGCTCACTTTAAAGTCCTGCCAGTCTCTGCCCGGAAAGGGAGGGAGACGAAGTTTCCAGATGAGACGGTATGGGTGTTGTAACTAGCTCAGTTTGCAAAGCTAGGTTTGCCAGTGTAGCGTGAGTGTGCAGCAGGTGAATTATTCATGCCTCCGTTACTTCCGTGTCAGTTTTGCACATATAACATCAGGTCATTCCCACATGCTTTGCTGTTACAACTCCTATTTGCATACAGTAGCCAGGGACGCCCCGCAAGAACACGACTCAGCTACTTTTACTGTAGTGGTGCAGTTGCGTGAGGGATAGAAAAGAAAAGGATTAGAGAGATAAGTTAAAGTGCTGCTAACACATTTACACAAGTAAATAACAGAGACACTACCAGGAAGCAAGGTTGCCAACAAATCCAAATTGATAAATCATGGAATATTGACCTATTTTGCCTAGCAGCACAAATCTAATTAGATTTCATGCATCATACAACAAGAATTGTGTGGATGCTGCAGAATAACCTTGGACTGTATGTAACTGTCTCTCCTAAATGGCTCAGCCTGGGTAAGTATCATAACAAAGCCATCAAGACAAGAACGTGACAGGGCACTTATTAATACTTTAACAATGCTTTTCACTGTAATTACATTTGCAGAAAGTAATCTCATCAGACAAAAGTGTAGGTAACGGGGCCAGTAGCAGCAGTAACAATGAGGACTTTAAACTCAGGCTGCGCCATTGTTTGCTGACAGTGTCTGGCAGGCCTGATAGTGGCTCAGCGCTCCTGTTCTGGACTGGGTTAATTGCCAGGATGTGGCTAGCTGGACTGAATTATCAGCGTCTTAAGATGCTGCTGCTCTGTGTTGCACCGAGCTGTGCTTTAGATGTGACCGTCTGTCAGAGGGGATTATGAGCCGGAGTGCAAATTGAGGACATCTCAGCTGTATAATTCTAGTACCAGTAAAGGTGGCTCTAAATTTCAATGCCAGGCAGTGCTACATCTGTAGTTTCCCCTTGAGGTTTGAATGTGTTTACGTACCACTAGGGTTGCAATAGTAAGTGACAGCACAGTAACTGTCATAAAATATCGCAGTTTCATGGTATTATAGAATTTCTATTATTATCAGTCAGAACGACTGTTAAAGGAGTGCAAATGGAAGGTTTTTTAAATATCGTAGACATCAAATGTACATGGTAAAATGACCATCAACTTCTGTATCGCGTATACCATAAATCTGGTATATTGCTGCAACCCTACGTACCACTGGTCTTAAACGTGAAAGCCTAATCCGAGGCATCTCCAGGGTGACACTAGCTACTTGTCAACTTTCTGCTGCTCCTGCACTAACAGGTTGTTAACAGTGACTCAAAAACAGATGCCACTAAGGCATGTATATTTTTGGAACCTGAGGTATCACAATCAAATGAGGCTGTCTTGTGTTAAACTCTTTAATGCACCACCGCTGGAACCCCACCCATCAGGCTGGAGACAAGATGAGTCAACTGGGACTTTAAACCTCTGAAGACAACGTGCCATCTCAGTTGAACCTCAGAATTGCTTGTACCATCAGTTTTATTACCCTGCGGTTGCCTTCTTCAATCCAGCTATTGATCGGTATCTCACTGGAATTGCGCTTTGAAGTTTTGACTGGCCCGTGGGACATCACAATCAGCTACCCTCGCACTTGTTTGAAGTAGGCTGGCTCTTTAGCCAGTGGTAAAATTAAAAGCTCGAGTTTAGTTCATCATGAATGCTGAGCTGAGATTGTTGGAGAGGAGTTTCAAATGGGATGGGAGAAGTTGCATCAGGACAGCTAACTTTCAGAGGTTAGCAAGAATGCAGTCAGCAGAGGGTGAATTAGGTTGAGAACATCAAATTGTGACAGCTTGGGGGCATCCTGGTGGTAGGACTAACCATGTAATGCAACACCCCTGGTGTGGGTCTGTCAGGGGATGTTTTTTGCATCCCTTCTGTTTACCCTTGTTTCCTGTCACCTCTTTATTGTCACCAGTGGATAAATGTACATTTGAAAGAAAATATCTGTCCATCAGTGAAACTTGTGCACTTTGAAAATCTAGTTATAAATAGAGGTGAAATGTGTAAAGGATCAGTAAGGGATGCATGCATATGCCTTTTTCTGAAGTTAGAGTGTCTGCATGAAGATCTCTCTCTTTTTTTGCCACCTCAGCCATCACAGCAATAACTCATTATGCTATATTGATTTCAAACAAATTACAGTTACTGACATTTTATGTGCAGAATGCATCATTTTGGGAAGCATTCATCAGCTACTTGGTGCCTAAATAATGTCACTAATTATTTGTTTGTCAGTTGGTGAAAGAAAGTAGCACACAGATCCGTTTACGAGATGTCACAGTCCTAGTCCACCGGTACGTGGTTATATTGAAAACGAAGCTTCTTCTATGTGTTTTGGCCATTTGTCAACGCAAAACTCCATTAGAGGTCACTAAAAAACTGAACTTTTGTCCAGGCAGGGTGAAGATTTTCAGGAGCTCTGTTTTCAGTGTTGACACACAGACAGGGAAAACTGAGTTTTGGCTTGTAACATCAGAGTCAGAGTATGCAGAGTGTGTGATATCTCCTCTGTGAGGGGTCCCAAATGAGGTGACATTACCTGTAATGGCAGCCAAGATGGCCACGACAGTGCTGGTTCTAACCTTGCTAACAGGACTTTTAAAGGTTTACACATAAATGTACCGTTACTCTTCCACGTTATTGAGAAACAGAGGTGTCAGAATGCGTTACGAAGTCGCTGATCCAGGTAGCCTTCCGGCTTTTTCTCAGATTTCTGATTGGCAAACATCATCTTCTTCTTCTTTGTGTGGCTTCAGGGTTACGGTAACAATGCCGCTAGTTGGTTTGCTCTTGACAAGGATTTAATTGTGTTTTTGTGTTTTCATTTGGATGAGGTTACACAAAGTGAGTTTTTGTGTTGATACTATAGCTGTTACTCACTCTTCTCATTCTCTTCATTCCAGGGCAAACCTTACATGTTCGACAGAGTGTTTCAATCAAATACAACGCAGGAACAAGTGTACAACGCCTGCGCCCAGAAGATTGTAAAAGGTATGATTCTTTACAGGCATATACACAACAAATGACAGCAAGCCCAGCCTTTTTTAAAATCTTGACTTGACAAAATCCCTCTGTGTGGTGTGTTTTAGATGTTCTGGAGGGATACAATGGAACCATTTTTGCATATGGGCAGACATCATCTGGCAAAACACACACCATGGAGGTAAGGATGACTTCTTAGAGCTGGCACTGTTTTCAAATGAAGTGTTTCCTTTTTTAGAATAGGAATCTTTACTCCAACATTCTTACATTAGATTCATTTTCTTTCTGCAGGGGAATCTCCATGACACAGATGCAATGGGCATCATCCCCAGGATAGTTCAAGATATCTTCAACTACATCTATTCCATGGATGAAAACCTGGAGTTTCATATCAAAGTGAGTAGTTAGAAGGGGCAAGCCTTTGAGCCGTCCCAACTCCATTTGAGGAGACAGAGTGCTTCAGTGATTCAAGAAACGCTGCCCTCCAAAATTCTCAAATTCCAGTTCCAGTTTCAGATAATGTGTTTAAAACTGGTATTTATGGCTGACTATTTCAGACTGAGGGTGCTAGCAACAAGCTACGTACTTCCTGTTTTGCGGATGGCTATTACAAAGCATTTTTCCAGAGACAGAATGAGTGATGTGCAACATGCCACTTGGTGCTGCTGCATCATGTTTCCTGGCTGACTCTCTGCTGTTGTTGAACTGTACTCTTGCATTGCAACACACAGTTTTGTGTTGGGTATAAGAGAAATAATGAAATATGAAAGTTTAGGTGATGAGATATTTACGTAATCATGTTGAATTTAGAGTATTTTTTGCTGTTCAGAAAATACCTGACTAACTCGTGTTGACTCTGCTGATATATTAGACTTTAGCTGCCTGTCTGAATATAGCTGTGTGTGTAGTAGTAGTAGTAGTAGTAGTAGTGTAATTATCAGAGTCCCTGCAAGGCAAGTGTGAAGAAATAAACAAAATTAGTAGAGGAAAGAATCTGGAAAAAAACAGTAGAAACCACACTCTTACACAGTTTTTCCTCTTGGGTTTTCCCTTATTTGTAATAATTAGTAATAAATGGCATCTTTGTCTTTTCTGTGTGTTTTCAAACCTGTGTATTACTGTGCTGCTGTTTTTATCATTTGCAGTAAACAAGACAGCCCCTTGTGTGTATTGTGATTCTGGTCTGATCTCTCAGCTGGATCGCCAAATAATGAGGTTCTTTTCTCTGTTCACAGGTTTCATATTTTGAAATTTACTTAGACAAGATCCGGGACCTTTTGGATGGTAAGTGGCTGTGATGGTGCAGCGAGCACTGAACCTCTCTCTCCTTTAGTTGTACCACACAGTGGTAACAGATGTGACACAATGAGCTGCTAAAAGCTTGTGAAACATCGAGAAAATTAATGAGCGTCTGTGTTAGGAATATGATGGAGGGGGATGCTAGCTGTAAACACACTGACTTTGTTCTTCATTGTTGATCATCAGTTGTAAATGTGTGTATTTTACATATACAACAACACATGATTTGTTATTTGATATACTGTACATTTGATATTCAATTTGATTTGAGAATCAAGTAAGTCTTTTAAGCAGGACTGTACAAGACACCACCACCTTGACTGGTGTCAAAATGAGCTGCAGAAACATGAAAAACAAGTTTTACCTGTTGCATTATATCATGTGATGTTCTCATATTACTCATTAATGTTACGATTCTGTTGTACAAAACACTATGACGTGGTGAGAATTACATTCGTTTGCAATTACCTTTAGTGAAAAGGAAAGGTATTAAATTAACTCAAAGACAGCTTCCGCAATACATGTTCTGATTGGCTAACAGTTTTAGCTCATCTGTATTAAACTGTATAAACCAGCTGAGTGGAAGTTTTTTGGTTTCGTACGTTGTAAACTAGTCAGTGGGGAATTTCAGAAGTTACTTACAGCCATTCAAGTTCAGGAAAATTTCAGATGTTCCACCGTCCACCATTTCCACTTCTGGAGAGAGATAATCTTTTATAACAGGAGAAAGATATCAACTGGGGAAGATGCTGTCCTCTTGCTGTTTTGGTTTCACAATGGTTGATGCACTCCCTTTGTGCTGTATATCAAGGCTTTATCTTCCCGGGAGATTGTACCTGGTTGCAGACAGAATTGCATAGTGAAAGCAAGGCTTATATGGAACCAATCTAATTGGCCATGGTGTCATCATTCTGTAGCCATTACACTGTGCATTCAACATTTACCTCATAAAGCAAAACAAAATGTTCATGGCAGTAAAATTATAAGTGGTTTACACATGGTATGCCATATGTTCAGGTGCAAAGTCAATTTTCCTGACACCTTCTTTCTCTCATCTCCAGTGTCAAAGACCAATTTGTCAGTGCATGAAGACAAAAACAGAGTACCATACGTCAAGGTGAGACCTAACCTCATATCACATGTCAAGTATTCTGTAAAACTTGTTTGTGAAGACCGATAATCAATCCTCACGTTCTGCTTTTCTTTAAAGGGCTGCACTGAGAGATTTGTCTGCAGCCCAGAGGAGGTCATGGACACAATTGATGAAGGCAAATCAAACAGACATGTAGCAGTCACAAGTAAGATACCATCCTTTCATCCAACCATCGAGTCCATTACCTGCAGTTTTTGCATTTTAGAGGCTGATACATTTTAACCACACGGGTGTAATTTCTCTTTCAGACATGAACGAGCACAGCTCCAGGAGTCACAGTATCTTCCTGATAAATGTCAAACAGGAGAACACTCAGACAGAGCAGAAGCTCAGTGGCAAACTCTACCTGGTGGATCTGGCTGGCAGTGAAAAGGTATTGAGAACCATCTGTTATACATTGTGGTAGATTTCTTTGATTTTGCCGTAGTCATTATATTGTAATAAAGTATTTAATTTACTTTTTTTTTTTTTTTTTTACCCATTTCCCCTGTGTTGTCTACTTGAGTTGGATTTAGATTAGAGTCCCTTGTTTGTCTTAAACATTGAGCTTCACGAGACCTTGTTGAGGTTATTGTCTGTGTAATTTTCAGGTCAGTAAAACAGGAGCAGAGGGAGCTGTGCTGGATGAAGCCAAGAACATCAACAAGTCTCTGTCGTCCTTGGGAAACGTCATCTCTGCTCTGGCAGAAGGAACAGTCAGTATCTCAATGTCAACTCTATTTGTAATCTGCCATTAAATCTGTCTCTGCAATTATAGAGAGATCCATTTGTTGAATTTATTGTGGTGTTCTGTGGGCTTTGTGTTTTTTTTAATTTGCACTGTAAGTGAAAGTGAATTATCTGAGATAAATATGTTTACTGATTGAGGTTATTGTGGCAGAGTTAACTGTCTCATCAGTTAAACTTTAATCTGTACTTCAGAACATAATGAGCCCAAATTTTTGTCTATGCCATGTATCTTATTCAGTGCAACAAGTGTTAGATCTGTTATAACCTCAGGTGATGTTTTTTTTTCCACCCAAATTATTTTTATAGCATTTTGAAATGACAGACATTACTGTTAATGTAGCAGACAGAAGGGAAGTCTGTTCACCACCTGCACAGCCCAGAGCTAGGTGTGCAGCTGGGAAACCAGCATCTTTTTTTCGGTTATCTTACTACAAAAGTGGCTTTTCAACCATCTACAGGTCCTTTGTGCCGCACAAAAACATTTGAGCAGATAAAAACTTTCCTCCAAGCAATGTTTTGCTTCAGCTGCTTGATAGTGGTTTCCCACTTTTCACTTTAATCAACAGTTGGTTTGTTGTCAGGCTCCTTCGCTCTGTAAACAACCTGGGGCGGACAGCCTCTGATATATTTGTGATCATCTAAAACAAATGAGCTATTGTGCAGAGATGTCTCACTCCCGACTGAGCATCGTGGATTCAAAAGAATTACAGCACACTACTGCAGCTCAGCTGTTTGTATCAACGCTGATAATATATCACGTTAGTATTTCAGTGCCATCTAGTTTTACGAAATTCAGGAGCTCTGTAAGTGAAGCCATCACATCCTGTTAGCTCTGTCCTGGCTGCTTCTTCAGTTTCAAGACAGCAGGACCAAAATGTTCAAGTGTATTTTCTGAACATAGAGAATACTATGCTTTCGTTTGTATTTCTTTCCAACTCCAGAATCCATCCCATAGGGTATTGTCAAATTTTCCTTAATCAAGGTGGACTGCCATTCATATATAGATGCATCCCACGTCAAAACGCACTTTTTCCATTATTTTGTTGAACTATTTTTAATGGAATGAAGGACAATAATGATTCAAAGTTTTTGTTTCTTTGTTTTTTACCACAACACAGATTTTGTTTGGTTCACTACAGTCAGTTAATTTGCTTTCTGCTCATTAAATGTTCCTGTATGTATTTTTGTGTACACCAGGCCTACATCCCCTACCGAGACAGCAAGATGACCCGTATCCTTCAGGACTCTCTTGGCGGTAACTGTCGAACCACCATTGTCATCTGCTGCTCGCCTTCCTCCTATAATGAGGCCGAAACCAAATCCACCCTCATGTTTGGACAAAGGTTGGTAGGCCAGTAGGATGAAAACAAGCTTAACTGCTATGTGTAATTTATTTCACTCTGTAACTAATAGTTTAAAATAGAGTTGAAGAAGCCCATGTATAGGTGTAGAAAGGTAATGGAAAGCATACATGTATTCATAATCATTGTCACAGTTGGTCCAGTGATGGTTCAAGCTTAGTTGCTGGTATATTTCGGTACCTTTTTTAAAGTATAATTGTGCATAAAATGTCCTTATTAGAGTCCTTTCAGTGGAATAAAAGCTGTTTTTCATTTATCCAGAGCAAAGACCATCAAGAACACTGTCACTGTGAACGTGGAGCTGACAGCAGAGCAGTGGAAGCAGAAATATGAAAGGGAGAAGGAGAAGAATAAGACCCTGAGGAACACCATCAACTGGTTGGAGAATGAGCTTAACCGCTGGAGGAATGGTGAGGAAGTAGACTGTCTTATTCCATTGTTTCTTCTATGCCTACAGATTCCTTAGAAAAACTAATCAGTGCTGTAAAAACTTCTTATGTTGATCCAGATTCTTTTGGTGTTTTGAATCTGTGTGTTGCAGTGTGTTGTGCAGGTTGCAATGCCAGAAACAGACTTTGTCTTAGGTTCCTACTAAAGGAAACAACAGTACACATTTTTGTATCAGTATACTGCATTAACACCTAGGAGTGATGACAGTTTTCTTTTGTGTTCACTGACTGCTAACTGCACATACTTTAAAGGGCTGGTATTTGTTTTATTTATATAGGACAAATAAAGCTCTTTACAGATGCATATTCAACGTGTGTGCGTTCCCCCACCTCAGGTGAAAGTGTGCCAGTGGAGGAGCAATTCGACAAGGAGAAGGCCAATGCCGAGGTGCAGGCCTTGGACAACATCATCAACGAAAAGCAGGCCTCCACACCCAACGTGCCGGGTGTTCGCCTCACCGACGTGGAGAAGGACAAGTGTGAGGCCGAGCTGGCCAAACTTTACAAACAGCTGGATGATAAGGTGAGTGATGGAGGTGTATGAAAGTGTGTTTGTAGACTTATACATTGTGTGAACAGGTTTTAAACACACTACTGACACACTGAAAAAAGAACACGTCAAAATGAATTGCATAATAAAATATGCAAACGACATTGTAACTGCTGGAGGTTATCTGGAGGGAAATAGATAAAATCTGTAACAAAAAAAGGAAGAATGACAAGATGACCACTACTGCACCATTTATCGTTTCTTTTAATCGTCATAGCGATGTCAACAGTTGCAATAAACATTGCAAAAGAGTGATTTTGCTCTTTGAATAAAGTAACAATGCATCAAATTACACTCTGTCTGCAGGTGCTGGCCAATCAGACAGCGCCCTCGCCATTAGGCAAAGTCAAACAATAGGGATTGCAGGATACAGGATACACTAACTACAAGGCTGGATTATTTTATGGATCATAAATGGTGGTAAATCCTAAACCAGCATATGAGTTTTATCGCAAAAGAACATATGGTGGCTTGGAGGAAAACATACAGCTGGGTTGAGAATGAAAAGTAGTGTTGTAAGAGCAGCGTGGCTTCTTTAAGGAGAGCTCAGTGCATAGCGAGTATGTGGTTGAGTAGGAGAGTAACCGTGTGTGCACTCAGAGCTGACAGCTTATGGCGATCATCAGAGCAGAGGAGAAATTAACAGGGAAGCTGTCAAGTGGTAGTAAATGCACAGTGTAGCTTTCAGTTTGTCCATGAATAAACCCTGCAGCTCCCCCCACACCCACATAAAGTAAATATAAATATACAAACACAGGCACTGTGCAAGACTGAGTCAACAACAGAGTACACTTAAATGTCTATATGTCACAAATAGTGTCAGTATTGTGATATTCAGCAACAATATTACATATTTTCCTCATAACATGCAGGCATAATGATTACATGCCTTAGTAACTAAGGAGTGGTAAACAAGATTGAGTCCTTTAGGCGTTCCTCTGCCTCAAGCGTCATGGTTTCCATCCAGTATTTATCTTAAAACAGGTTTAGAGAGGGCCGAGGCCACTGTTTGATTCAAATGTGTTTCTGCTGGTCTTTGGTTTGTAGGCCACCAAATCTGGAGATTGTTTTTCCAATTTCTCATGAGTAAATGTTACACGCTAGACGTCTCCTTAGATGTCATGTTGGCTGGTCTGACACGATATAAGGATGGCACAGCTTGAAGAACAAGGACACTTTGAGAATTTCCGTTTTGTAGTTGTTGGATGTCTTTGTGAAATGTTTGGATTGTCTTTTAGAGACTATTGCATATGGTTTTCATGCCAAGAAAATAAGAATTTCGTGAAGGATAGTAGCTTACTGAAAATTACACCTGGTCATTATTGCATAAATATGCAATCTGTTTTTTAAATAGGGCAAACTAATATATAAATATATATATCTTTGTTTAGCAGGGCTTCATCAGTCACTAACTTGACAGTATAAACATCCTAAATGGGTTCCTTTATATTTAATGTTTGAATGTTTGCTTATGCTTTGGCTGACAGGAAATAACAGCTGCTCCCCAGCTACAGAATTGTGTGAAAATGTCTATAGAATTGAATAAAACTGATTTCTTTTGGTCAAATTCAGATATTCTCTCAAGAAAAAGGCAAAAACAGTCTTTATTTTTTCCAAGGCTTTTTTTCAGTGCCAGGTGTGAATGCTAATGTGACTTTCTGTCTCTGTGCTTTACAGGACGAAGAAATCAACCAGCAGAGCCAGCTGGCTGAAAAGCTGAAGCAGCAGATGCTGGACCAGGAGGAGGTGAGTACTGGAGGTGCAACAGGTGTAGGGAAGGCACAGGTGCAAAGTAAACTCTGGATCTTTGTAGTTTCAGAGGTGTGAGGTAACACATGACGCTATCCCAGCTGTCAAGTTGTATTTCTAATTTTACAATAGGATGTACTTTGATAATTTGATCCATTAGTTCACACTACAGTTACTCGCTTTTGTAGTAGCAATTTTAATGTTTTGCTGTTAAGAAAAGTGAGTTTTGCATACTTGATATGTCATGACATTACTACTACAATCAAAGATGGTACTAAAGTCCTTGTTTCAGTGACGTTATAAAGATAACAGTTAAAAATACAAATTGCTTATTCATCCATATTGTGACAAATACTGAATAGTACCCTTCAGCCTTAATGCGTTTGTAAACAAGTACTATAATTACTTTTCTCTCCTCTGCTGCCAGCTCTTAGCCTCCTCACGCCGCGATCACGAGAACCTCCAGGCAGAGCTGAACCGCCTGCAGGCAGAGAACGAGGCCTCCAAAGACGAGGTGAAGGAGGTGCTGCAGGCTCTGGAAGAGCTGGCCGTCAACTATGACCAGAAGAGCCAGGAGGTGGAGGATAAGACCAAGGAGTTTGAGGCCATCAGCGAAGAGCTCAGCCAGAAATCGGTGAGCCTGGGACAGATGTCAGCACGCTTTATTTTTGGTCATGTGCCTTTTATTTGTCCTTTGTTTTGGCTGTGTTAATATGTAACACACAGACATGCAACTCGATAATTAAACTCGTACAACCTTCAGGGATAGAAGAACTACAGACACATGCACACAAACATCCATTACACAAATCACCAAATAGAGGAACTTAAAATAAGAATCTTGGAATATAAATAAATAACAATAAAGGAACACACTGACATGAAGAATGATTGCTCTCTCTTCCTGCAGTCCATTCTGTCGTCTCTGGACTCTGAGCTCCAGAAGCTGAAGGAGATGTCCAACCACCAGAAGAAGAGGGTGACCGAGATGATGTCTTCACTGCTCAAAGACCTGGCTGAGATTGGCATCGCTGTAGGAAGCAATGACATCAAGGTATGGGCATGCCTTGCACATCATTACTATAGCAACTATGGCTACAGTAGCAACACGAAACTCTAGGAATTTAGAGAAAGAAGGAAGATTACTTATTAGATTTACTATGAGATGAAAATCCTTTGAGGCCCAGTGACTCACCATGACACATATCTGGTACCGTGTCAGTTTGGATATTCTGATGAGATAATGCACGAACACCTGGTTCTTTCTTCTGTCTGTTTCCTCTGTGTGGTTGTGCTTTCTCAAATTTCCTCCTCTCCCTTCCAGCAACACGAGGGCAGTGGCCTGATAGATGAGGAGTTCACAGTGGCCCGCCTCTACATCAGTAAGATGAAATCCGAAGTGAAGACCATGGCGAAACGCTGCAAGCAGCTGGAAGGCACCCAATCAGAGAGCAACAAGAAGATGGATGAGAATGAGAAGGAGCTGGCTGCCTGCCAGCTGCGCATCTCCCAGGTAAGTAGGAACTAACTACAACTGTTATGAACTGAAAACATACACTTTACTGATCCCTGTAAAACAACAAAAAAAAAATCATCTCTGAATCCTTATTGAGATAATGTGTATAAATACCTTACTTATTTCTTCTGTCTTCAGCACGAGGCTAAAATCAAGTCTCTGACTGAGTACCTGCAAAACGTGGAGCACAAGAAGAGGCAGCTGGAGGAGAACGTGGACTCTCTCAATGAGGAGCTTGTCAAGCTCAGCGCTCAGGGTATGTCACTGTTAAAGGACAGAGCTGGAAATGGGGCACAGGCACTCACTTCAAGTCCACTTACATACTATTGGAGGCCGTTAACACCAACAGGAGCTGTAGATTAATAGTTAAATAGCCTCTCGGGGACATTTAAACCTTATCCAACTCAAAAACTTACTAAGGTTGGGTTTCAAGAACTGGCTCTGAACAGTAACCCGCTCCAGATTTTCAAGAACTTGTGATTGTTTAGTGTTTACAATGTGGCAGAGTAAGTGCCAAAAAGGTGTGTGTAAGACTGCCGCGGCATGACAAAAGGTTGGGCAGGCTCAGGCTGTAAAAGTCTAAATTTAGCTGCTTAAGTGTATTTTAGTTTCCTTTCTTAATCTTAATCCAAATTTGAATTGGTATGAAGTGTAAACTAAACCCAGTCTTATCTCATTTTCATATTTGTAGGGTTCAGTGAACACTAACATCACTACTCCCATCTCATAACAGTGCATCTTGTGTTTATGTTTTGCAGAGAAAGTTCATGCTATGGAGAAGGAGAATGAGATCCAGACTGCCAATGAAGTCAAGGTATGTTCCTGATCCATTGATAAGTGGAAACAAGTTAACACTACTGTTTTGTAGATTCTTAGCTTAGGTCTATCACCAAAAACACTGTGTAAAAAATCTCAACATGCCCAAAATGGTCCTTTAAACTTTTGAATCACCTTCACAGTACGTTGGTGTTTTTTCATTGTTTTCTTAATTATCCCGTTAAATAAATGCAAATGTGGTGTATCTGTGTGTGTTCAGGAAGCGGTGGAGAAGCAGATCCACTCCCACCGTGAAGCTCATCACAAGCAGATCAGCAGCCTGAGAGATGAGCTGGACAACAAGGAGAAACTCATCACTGAGCTGCAGGAGTAAGACTTACATTTCTGTTTTGTCAGTCAGTGCTTTGTTAAAAAGATGAGGACAGCAATGGGGATAAATATTAAGATAAAGAATCATTTAAAACATTGTTTCAGTTACAATATTTTGATATTTGAAGTAGCAAACAGTAGTAGCTATGTAAAAGACAATTTTTCATCTTGTTACAACTATAACAGTAAATAATACCCTTTATACACAAATGCAAAGATTACACCTTTAATTTATTAAAACATTCTGCTTTGCCGTCTCTTCCAGTTTGAACCAGAAGATCATGCTGGAGCAGGAGAGACTCAGAGTAGAGCACGAGAAACTCAAATCCACTGACCAAGAGAAGAGCCGCAAGCTGCATGAGCTTACGTACGCTACAGATACAATAACCGTGATGCCATTTATCACCAACTTTGTGGCATGTGCATTTCTTTAGATGTTAACTGTTGTTGTTGCTATTGTTGTTGTTGTACAGGGTGATGCAGGACAGAAGGGAGCAGGCCAGACAGGACTTGAAGGGTCTGGAGGAGACAGTGGTGAGTTTATCCAAATCAACTGATGACAAAAGCACCTATTGCGGGTCTTTGTCATATAAGTTATTGGGATTACATCCATTTGCAAGTACAATTGATTGTTTCGGTGAGTTGACTTCTCGTAAAAGCTTGTACCGACACATTATTGCAAGTCGTAAATGCCACATCAGTTATCTTCGCTACAAGTATTCCATACATTTTTTATTTTGTTTCCTTTTTTCCCTGTTAGTTTTTACAGTAAATTCAATACAAAGCAAATTAATGACTCATTTTGAATTCAACACCAGCCTCAGTATTGAGGTTTTTAAAACGTAGGGATATCTGTGCACATTTGCTTAAGTTTCTTTGATATAAAGTGATATTCTGCAGTGTTAAATTCTTGGATATAACACCGGTTCTTTCAGTCTTTTCAAGTTATTTACTGATTTTGATTACTTGTCTTTTCTATTCAAGGCCAAGGAGCTGCAGACCCTGCACAATTTGAGGAAGCTTTTTGTCCAGGATTTGGCTACCAGAGTGAAAAAGGTGAAACTCTGATGCAAGAAAATCTCTTCAAATGCAATTAGGGGGGGTTTGTTTAGTGAAAAATACCACTGCATAAAGTTTTAATGCTTGTGTACTACTCGTTGTGCAGAGCGCTGAGATGGACTCGGATGACACAGGCGGCAGCGCAGCGCAGAAACAGAAAATCTCCTTTCTTGAGAACAATCTTGAGCAACTCACCAAGGTTCACAAACAGGTAGGATTTTAATGAACACTCCCAGCAACAGCTCGGAGATCATTGCTGTCCGTTTAAGATCTCACATTACCTTCTCTGGCTGAACTCTATTTGCAGTGTTCTGTTCAGTTTGTCTTCTTGCCTTTTATCCATTTTATTCTCTGACCTCGATTTCAGTGTGCTCCACTCTCTTCCTCTTGCTATCATTATGTTTGCTCAATCATTTTTCCCCACTGGTAGATATATGTTGAAAGGTAGATGAAAATAATGATTTAACACGATGCAAATTGTCCCACAGCTGGTACGTGACAATGCAGACCTGCGCTGTGAGCTTCCTAAACTGGAAAAACGTCTTCGTGCTACAGCTGAGCGGGTCAAGGCCCTTGAATCTGCTCTGAAGGAGGCCAAGGAGAACGCCGCCCGTGACCGCAAGCGCTACCAGCAGGAGGTTGATCGCATCAAGGAGGCTGTCAGGGCCAAGAACATGGCCAGGAGGGGACATTCAGCCCAGATCGGTTAGTATGGATGGATGAGAAACACATCTACAACATCTTTGTTTCTGGGCAGAAAACACAGAATTGATCATCAGTTACTTTTTGCGACTTTCGGTGAGATTTTATGTATTTTTCTAACTGGATTGACAGTCTAAATATTGTTTTGTTTTAAATAAAATGCAAATCTCCCCAACACTGCAAACATTATCTGATCATCTGAAATGGCCAAACCTCATTCTCCTCTGTCTCCCCAGCCAAGCCTATCCGGCCTGGGCAGCAGCCAGTGGCGTCTCCCACCCACCCCAACATCAACCGCAGTGGAGGTGGTTTCTACCAGAACAGCCAGACGGTGTCCATCAGGGGAGGAAGCAGCGGTGGCAAGCCAGACAAGAAGTAAGAGGAATATCGCTCTTTCCCTTCTCATAGCTAACAAGACGATGTGTGATATTTAAGACCAGTTAAAAAAAAACTGTTATTCCCGTTTAGACACAAAAACATGAGAAAATAGGATCCATGTTTGAAAAATACCAAACTTACCCTTTAAGGGGCCGTACACATGCCGCCTTTATTGCGCCCTCAAATCCATGGTTTTCAATGTAGACATATGGCATGCCGCTCATACGCCAGGGCGATGCTGGATGAAATAGCGGCTTTCTATTTACCAAGGTGCGAACCTGTGCCCTCAGATAAACAGAGTTCAACTTATGCAGCAGTGCACACCGCATGTCATGTGACAAGAAACGACCAATCACAGCCAACAGATATCTTTCCCCTTTTCTGTAAATATCAGTTTGTGGTAAATAAGGAGATGAAGTTAATCTGGGCTGCCCAGAGCTTTAAATCTGTCCCACGGACACACTTAAAAAAAGTGATAGAAGATGAGCTCTGCACTCAGGATTTCAGGTAAGAACACCATGATACAGTGCTTGTTACAGTTGCATAGTGACCTCAGACGCAACCTGCCTCTGCGCTCTTGAAAGTTGGCACAAAAGTAGCACCCAGCGCCCAACCTTGTGCTTTCCAGGCGGTTAAAGATGCGGCATGTGTACTGCCCCTACGGCAAAAATCTTACAAAAATTCCACAGTGATAATCCCTCTGCCTCAGTAATCACATAAACGTTATTAATAAATAGTCGTTAAAGTATTGAATCCAGTCTTCAGTGTACTTGTGTTATGATGACTCAGCAGCCGCATGAATGCAAAAACAGCCTCCTTTTTTGCTTAAACTAAAACTAGTTTGACACATCATGGATATAAGCTGTCAGAGGCGTGATGGATGGGAGCAGTTTTCTGTGCAGAAGTGTTTGACATTTACTAACAGCATTCTCCCTTTCCGTTTATCTGCAGCTAAAGAGCAGCGGGATAGAAGGACGACACCACTGAAGAAGCCAATATCCC